GCTTCTCAACCAACTCTGTACAAAATGCTGACACTACCTGGAGGAGTTGGGGAGTGAAGGAAGGGTTTGGTAGGGAAGGAATATGAACCATTACTACAGTTAATGTAGGTTCTCTAGCTTGATTACTGTTTGCAAACTAAAAAAAAAGTGCTTTAAAAGAAGTGTTTTAAAACCCAAAGACTGGGCATATTTTACCAATATCAGGCTTTGTTCTGTGTTCCCAAGCAAAAGGCAGCATTCTAAACTGCTTCTAGATGGGCAGCTCCAAAGCTCAGCTCAAGATGCCAGTGGAGACTTGATAGTTAGAAATCTAGCCTGCACCGTTCTTGCTTTTTTTTAAGGAATGCTCCAAGTAATGTATTTCGTAGCTACAAATAAAATATTAACTACAAAGCAAAACAAAGGCATACTAGCCTGCTTCCTCAGTGCCCCACACATGACAGAGTTATTGTATGTGTGGGGAGGAAAAAGCATGGCTGGCTACTTCTTGCACTGTTCCTGTCAGAGACATGAGTCAAATCTTTCCAGCTGAGCAGAAGAGTCAGCTCCTCTAACTGTATCCTTCCCACATTTATATCTGTGAAGTTGTTCCTGTAGAGGAATGCAATTCCCATTTTTCTCCCTCTTGGGAACATCTTTTTAAATAAAATGCTTTCCCCCCTTTAGCCACACAAAGAGAATCAATTCTTTAAAATCAGAAAGTGGTCAGATTTCAAAGAACTGCTCCCCCTCATTTTCAGTTGTGAGAAGTCTGAAAATTACATATTTTAAAGTCTTTAAATTAGGCTTTTTGTCTCACTTAATCTACTTTCATCTGTCCACTTGTTGGAAGATCAGATTTATACAATTGTATGCCCTTCCAAAAGAGAGGGAGAGGAAAAAAAAAAGAAAAAAAAAAAGGAAAGAAACAATCACACGGGCTCATCCTCCCAGGCGTATCCCAGTACGGTAAATGAACATGCCTGGTAGAAATACAGTTTTGTAAGCAGGCAGAATTTGTTTTGTCACAGAGAAATATATTTTGATAACTCATTTTGTATCTGTGCATCACACTCATTCCTTGTCTATCCAGTTGCTGTAGACAAGTGGAAATATTTCAAGGAAATATTGAAGGGAGGCATTTAGAATTGTCTCAAGTTAATAGCACTGCCATTAAGCTGACAAATAGGTGAGAGTGCTACCTGTGAAATCCAGTTCTAGAACAACTGCTCCTTCAGTAAACTGATTAAACCACCTTGATAATAGGTTCTCTGTCTGCAAAGGCCAGACAGGTTGGAGCTTTACATCCTACATATATTCATCCACATATTCTCTCCTCCATATTCTTGTTCTTCATATTCAGAAAGCTAGGGACAAACCTCAACCACCTTTAAATGCACTACTGAACTTTTAAAGCATGAAATGTAGGTCACCTAGATTTTATAAAGATATAATATAGGCCTGAAATGAGAATTACAGTTACTTTAGACTAGGATCCAGACAGACCATCAAACCTTAACTACCAGTTGTGTTCTAGTAAGATAGAAATTTAGCAGCTATCCAAGTCTAGCTCATTATACACTTCTTTGGCTTTACTATTTGAATCTGAAGTTCCCTTAGCTGTTTGCAGATTTACTTCCCATCACTGCTAATACAGACCCGAAACCAAACCAGCGAGACATGGCTTGCAGGCATTGCTGCCCTCACTGAGGTTCAGCACACAACACTGCAGCTCATTTGAGCACATGTGATTCAGGCTCCCCAGACTTCAGAGCACTGCTCAGTCACATGGATACTCAAAAACTCCAGGAGTCAGTCTGAGAGCCTAACTCTCTCTCCTGCCTGAGGCCTGCCACTTTCTCTGGATGTCAAGAGCAGCCTTAAGTTTTGCAACTCCAGCTTCTCAGTGAAACAGTTGTGACAAAAGTAATAGAGAAACACCCCACTGACTAGTTCCCTAAATCTCAGCTCAGAGATGTCACTGATAAAATATAAGTTTCAGGCTGAGCAAAGCAACTGCTCTCTAGATGTTGTTAAGTGATGTTATACACATTTATTTCTGCAGAAATGCTGGAAAAGTGAAACAAAGCACATCCTTCTCTATGGAACAGCTGAGAGAAGTTTCTACACACAGAATGCTCTGGGGTTGGGGATCTCAAACACAGGCAGGAGTAAGAGAACTCTCAGTAAAGACAGCAGCATATGCTGCTTCCCATTAGCTAGCTCAATTTCAATCTTCAAGGTCCTAAAAAGGACTCACCAACACCCTCTCCTCCAAAGAAACTCAAACAGTCCAGTACAGATAGCATTTGTTGCAGTAGCTGAACAAAGGTTTGTACAAGGCAGAAGCAATTTATAGCTCTTAACACACCTTCAACAAAACAATCAACGGGATGATTGCATCAATAGATAAAAAAATCTGTTCTTTGAAGTTAAAAGGCTAACCAAGATGTTACCAGCCACAAATGTATGTCCTTCCATTAACCCAAACCAAAAAGAATACTATCTTGCAACTGATACAATTATTGAAGCAGTGTGTTAAACCAGCATAGAGAGGAGCTTTCCTAGCTAATCAGTAACAGTGGGCTAGATGAACTAGGAAAGAAATGAGAGTATTAATACAACATAAGCATCCTGCCCATGCATTATGAGTGAGGTACTTAACATATGTATTTTATCTTGAAACAGATCAGTTTTATTACTTGGAAGGTGAGGATGTAATAATTCAGCCTTGAAGAAATGTTAAAGATTGTTGTTCTCACCCATGCTACTTCCTATAAACTCTGGTGTATTATGAAACCTTGGCTGCACAATGTTATCTAATATAGGAAGTTCTGTATTTCCCCAACAAGTTAAAGGGCCAGCTTGTAGCTCAAAGGGTCAGTTTCTTTTCAACTAATCTGTATCTCATCTCCATCTCTATAGTAGTATTCCCACCTTGCTTGCATGTTACCGGAAGTGTAAACTAGTTTTGAGGTACCTCCTGAAATAGCCTGGTGATCTGAAATGAAATTCACTTCCTCTATTAATCTCACACTGAAAACCAGAGTATTCACACACCTCCAGGTTAACCAAGAAGAATTCAAATGTGTTGACGCCTCTCACAAAAGCTTAGCATCTCCAGGCAGAAGTGCAAAACCAAGGCAACTGCTTAGATGAAAACCCATGCATTTATGGTTAAGATTCCTGTCTCTCCCCCTTCCTTCCTAAACAAGATGAAAAACTGCAGTCCAAGAGACATGTTCAGCATCTCACTAGCACTGTAAGTGCCTAAGCTTGCAGGTTTCTTCCATCTGACCTGGAAGTTCCTGCAGCTCCCACACTGCAATAGAAAGCTGCATGGGTATTACACACAGTGGGGAAAAAAAAAAAAGCTAGAAAAGTCTGTAAGTCCTTAGAGACCTCAGTTCAGGAAACACATAGGATCCAGACCCTCATAAAAATCTATGGACTGCAAGAGTAACTGAGTGGTTACAATTCAGTCAGATCTACACAAGAGCAAGGGATGGAATCCAGCTGTGTCCCTACCAGGACTAGAAAATCTTTGGCTGCTGCTTTTCAGAGCAAAGCTCCGGTTTCTGAAGCCATGCAGCAGTGGGGCTTAGAGACATTTGGACTTGGGTCTTGGCATGGCAGTAGCACCTATCCATTGCTCAGACTTTAGCCATCTAAATTTCAAGATACAAAAGACAGTAGAACTGCAGATAACTCTTCTGGCACATTTCCTATCTATGCATGGGCAGCTTGCTGTTAACATGCCTTGGGGAGGAGACAGAAGAAGGAAGAGAAGGGACAGAAGGGGAAAGATGAGATTAAGGAATCAGTGAGTCCAGCACAAGACAGTTAATTATGTTCAGCAACTTCCATAATACTCCAGTTTCAATCACTGACTTTATGTTTTCATTTGACAGAAAACCCTTGTTTTACATCTTGGAGCCTCAGTGTGTCACAGGTGGGCAGCTGCCTCTGGAAGACCAAGTTAGAAGCCATCAGACTGAATGAGTTCACTGCGCAGATTTTAGGAAATAAAACATGAGGACTTTTACAGAGTTGGTTTGTTAACTTTAGGTTGTGGAAATACCACCCTGAAGTACAGAAACTTTTCAATAAGGCAAAATTGCAATTTTTGTTCTTGCCTGTTGAGATCTTAAGAAATTCTTTCTGGAAGAAAATAGAAAATGTAACTGAAAAAACCAGGAAAAAACCCAGTCTGTGCCACTAACCTGCGCTACAAATACCAACTTCTAGAATTTGTCTTCAAAACAAAGATCAAAATTTTAATAAAAACTGACATACTTTACTGTCCAGAATTCATTTGAAGTTTTAACATTAAAATACTCATTTCTGCATGCACTCTGCATCCTGCACAACATAAAACACATGTACCAAAACTAGCCACATGTTGTTCATGACTATTTCCCTTCTGATGAACTATATACTTTACATAGTTTGTCAATCAAGTTGTATTTGCTTTGTATTCACACACATTAAAAAAAATGGAAAATGGTGGAAAAGGGAAAAAGGATTGACAATCCCAGCAGCCTAATTAACCTCTAGCTTGAATACCCCAGTTAGGTGGCTAAAAAATACTAAGTAGCATGAAACTAAGTACTGGTATTTTAAAACTTGCAGAATCTTATTTACAAATCTAAGACATACAAGGAAGAAGGGGAACCTGCAAGGCCACAGCTTCTGTCCCTGCTAAAAAATTCAAGCTTCAGTGAATACTTGATGCAATCCTTGCTCAGCAAACACCTCAACCTACCATCTTAAAGTGTCCTTTAACTGACAGGACAAAATTGGTGAATACAGAGTGATACTATCTGTACTTGCCATGGCAGATCACTGCTAACAATACACATGAAGGAAGGAATGATCACGCTGTGTGGGGTGCCACAAACCTACCAAATGAGTAGGCAGAGTGAGAGTTAATTCCCATGAATGAATCTGAGACACTCACCTTGAGTGGGGCCACCACCATTACTAAAATTTTACACAAAACATGCACAAATGTAACTTACAGCATTGTGTGATCTTCTGGATGTTAGAAGTTATGCGTTGGGCTAGTTGATTAGGATCCCCAAAACCTGGTCCGTACGACATGGCTGAGTAGATCTGCTGTCACAGTCATCCACAACAGGAAAATGACAGACAGTCTCTACCTACAGAAAACAATAATTATGTTTTGGTCATTGGTTTATAAAGGTCTTCATCTTCTTAAAGAATACATGGGAGAAGATTAAAGAAAACTCCATATACTAATGTTTACCCTCCTTGAACGCACTGTACTTCAAGGACAGTTTATCTTTTGTCAAACTTCTTATATGTTTTCCCCACTGTAATCAAAGAGTGTAATTTTCATTGCATTTACCATTCCAGTAAAAAAATGTTTCATCTGAAATTTCCAAACCCTCTGAAGAATTACATCCCAAACCAATTACATTTTTATTTACATACCATATATCACCCACCCCAACAATAAAATCCAGCATAAGTAACCACTGGAAAAAAAACTTCAGAAAAAAGGCAGCAACCAGTTTCCTCCAAACAGCAATCATTTGTATCAACTTCAGTTTTAGTTTAACCCAGTGCCACCTAAGTTCTATGAATTAGCACTTTACCCTGTTTCAGCTGCTATGTTTGTTGATATGAATTCTTTTTTCAACAACTTGGGTATGCAAACACATTTTTAGGGGTGTTTTTCCATCCATACAGATAAAATTGCAGCACAAGCTCATGGGCACATATCCTAAATCAAAATTACCAAGACATAAATTACAATGCCTGTGCAAATCAAAACTGGTGGTTTATCTGTTCTGCAGTGAGAATGCAAAATAATCAAGTGCAACACATCCAACACAAACCCACAATTTCATCCAGGCTGTGCTTTCCTGCACATCACCTTCACAGGTTGAATATTTTAGCTTCACCACTCCCCCACATTTCCACTGTTCAACCCAAACCATGTGCCTTCCAAACAATGTCCTCTCCTCCTGGCCCATCAGCTTCTGCTTAAGAGACACCGCTAAAACTCCATTTCAGGTATAGAGAAAAAGAAAGCAAATTTACTGTGTGAAAATAAGGAAATGAAAAGACCAACTGATTTGTCAAGTATGACACCAGCTGTACTACAATTTGCAAACCCAAGTCCTTAAAACCTTTTTTTAAATACAAACAATTAACAGTCATTGTTGCCAAATATTTCCTTCCACCTTGGAAATGCCTGTATTAATACAGGCAGCAATACCCTGGCTGTTTTAAAACACAACTGGCTTCATATCTCTGTCATATAAAATGATCTCTAGCAGAGCCAAGACATGTACTGGTCTTGACATTGTACAACTCACCAAAATTTCACCAGGGATGTAAATACAGAGGTTAGGCCCATCTCTGCCTCCCTGCAGGTGACATCACCTGTGCCCCATGAAAAAGCTGCTGCTACCATGAAGACAAACTCTGCTTAATTTAAAAATGGCTGCTTCACTATGATCCCAAGCCCTGCTTGGAGTCATCAGGCCCTAGTAATGAATAATCTGACAGCAGACGAGGCCACAGGGAGTGTATTTGCACTCTTCTTCTTGCTGCACCATTGCCAGAGTCATAACTGCCTGCAGTGTCGTTTCCTTTGTCTGTACCACATGCAGATTCAAGTTTTTTTGACTAAAGTCTGGAGTCAGTCAGCCAGCCAGCCTAAATCCCACTTATCTGGGCCAAGGCTGGAACTACAACTTTTGATTTTCTTTGGAAATTCCAGGCAACATCGCACTGAATTTGTATTGCAAGACCAAACCCATGCAACCTTTACAGCAAATAAATGGCTCTATACCTTAGTGCATTGACTAAGTAAGGAAATCTACTAATTCAGTGAAAAATACAATAATAGGCATAAAATACAAAGAAACCACCTAAAAACGAAATTTGAAAAAGATTTCTCAGAACTGCTGACAGGTTTTTGTAAAAGTTATTACTATTTCTAGATACCTTAAAAAAACTTTTTAGTTAAATATTACAGTTAATGTTAAAAGTTGTTTAACTTCTATGTTTAATGGTAATGTTAAAATGCCACTGCTAAGGAGAAGAGATGGCAAAAGACCAAGCTACCTTGTGTTAGAATTAACTGAAACAACATTTCATTATTGGTTTTTTTTCTTTCATATTGGTATTCACCTAACAGCTGCCTGTAGCACTGTTCTCAGGAATACCTTTACAATCAAGAGATATGCACGGAATATTTCATCCAAGTCTTGACAAAAGCAGCTACTGCTTTTTTTTTTGTCTTGCAAATTTCTACAGCTAACTGTAAATATCTTTAAAGAAGTTACACTCCACTACACTGACAAGCATACAGATTGTTCAATACATAAGACAAGAATTTTTAAAATTTCTACAACAGCCAAACACAATAGATAGCAAGATGTTCAGATGACAAACTCCACAAGATACAGTTCAACTTTTCATCTACACATGTAGATCTCTCTAATTGTTGACACAATTCTTTTTATCAACTCACATACTTAACAATTGAGTACTTATAGCAAATTTGTAGGATAGCCATGTAAATTCACAGCTGGTTTACTCCATACACATTCTTCTGCTAACAGACCTATTCCTGAGTATTTCAATAATACAGATAGATAACAGTAAGTGACTGTCTGGGGAACAGACAGAAAGAGAGGTAAGAGGACAGCCATCAGCTGTCATCACCTCCCAATCTTCACCACATTTTCTCCCTCTAGTTCTCACAGTAACATGGGTATCTGAACCTGATGAACACCCTTCTTCCACTCACAACCCCTTCACTTGTGAGTGCTGAGTTACTCAAGCTCCTCTGAAAACACAGATAAGCTGAGCCCTTGGAAAGTCAACTGCTAATGACCTAGACAAGGTCAGGGTTTCAACCACCAGGAAAAAAAACAAGCATGCACCAAGCACTTCTTTCCATCCAGGGTGATAGGAGCATTCATCACGACACTGCATTTCCACAGAAATTACCCCTTTTCCCTTTCACAGCATTTAAGTACTCTGTTGTGATGTATTTGGTATGACTGGCTGCACAACTTACAAAACAGGGAAGTTAAAGGCCTGCTGCAGTTGCAGGAAGTACACTTTGCCTTCAGACTGGAACCAAGCTGCACTTGTGGTAGTCTTCAGTTCCTCTAAAAGTTTCAGTCAGGTGTGAGTTTCTGATTGTACATTTTATCTTCTGCTCAACATCACTGCCTCTGAATGGGAGTACACTGAGTGCCAATTCAGCTTTTCAAGCTACTGTAGAAATTCCAAGGAACTGAGTCGACAAGCACAAATTAAATGAAAAATCAGAACATTTTATTAACACTAACTGAAGCAGGATCTCACTGTACATTGAGGTTTAAAGAACTCAAAGGACTGAATATATTTTCCATAATTTCTGCATTAACTAGTTCCTACATCATTTGGTCACTTCATACCAAAACAAAAAATGAACCTTAGTACCAACATATCTTCTAGAAAGGTGTTTATCAGGCATAAGAAAAAAATCCACTTTTTCATCGACTATGAATGCAGAGACAAGAAAGTCTCCACATCTAAGCAGCTCCCCAGTGTCATTCCTGAAGCTCCATCAGGACAGAAGGAAGTGATGTGACAAGCACTGCACATGTCAGATTTCACAGCAGTTGCACGAACATTTTGCAGACTCCAGTAAGCTACAGTTAATAAGCACCTAATCTATTTTGTATTCTCTCATTTAGATATTCGAAGAATTCTCCTTCTCCCAGAAGTCTAGTCCAGATACATTAGGATAAGAACCCTTAAGCAATAGTTTCACTGTTTGAGCAATATTATAGCATTAGGACCTAGAATGTTTACATGGACGCTTAACTTTCAGAAAGCAGAAAGTACACACTGCATTCCATAGAACACTTGAAAATTTAAATCTGATCTGATTTTATGCCTTTAAGTATCCAGAAATAAGTCATGGGGCTTTCCTTACAGGATATTCTTTTCCTAAATAAAGGTCACAGTAACAAAGCTTCTCCTAAACAATATGTGGCTTCCTTTACGAACTACCCCTCCCAAAAAAAAAAGGTCAAAATTCTTCAAGCAGGGTGAAAACACAGCCAAAAGTGATGAACTGCTGAAAAACTTGGGCGAAAATTTCAGCAAGTCACAATGTTTGCTACAGAAAAGATAAGGACCTCCTGCTACAGCACCTGAGGGATTCTCATAACAGACTCTTAGCAACTGAATTAATAAGATACAGGTGAGCATTAAATTTGTCATTATTTTGCTAAGGGATGAGGGAGGTTTAATTTTTTCCTGGACTTATGTCTCTTTTTCCTTTATACTTCAGCTAAAATATTTAGAGACTGATATTACATTTCCCACTTTCTGCTTTTACAGCTCCTTGTGCTGAAATCCTGGTCCACAGGCAGGCTGTAGGCCCCCATAATACAAAACCTACCGTGGAACATAATAAATTAGCAAACAAAGTAGCAGTAAAATTAAATTCTTCTTGCCTTCTTAAAAGAAAAATTTCCAGATTATTTTTTTATCCTCTACTTTCAGGTAGAAGTCAAACTTAAATCCATATATGATAGGAAAAAGCAAAGTTTATTTAAAACTGCATCAACACTAACAGAAGAGATGTCAAAAGGTAACTGCCTAGCTACTCTGCACAATTCCCTTAGCCTTGCCATGTCACTGATGCTGAAACCTACCAAAACCAAGCTCGCATCATCTAACAGCTCTATGTTTGGGGTTTTTTGAAATAATTATTAGATTGTGCCACTGGTCAGTGTTTTTAGTCATTTTTTTCTAAAAATGATTCTGTTGAACAAAGACGCAATTTAAAGCAGCGACATTTAAACTGCTCAGCATGAAAAGCTAAATTACAGAAGCCTGAAATTCTACTAGGCCTAACACATCACCAACGCTAAGCATATACGGATAAAAATTACCACCCTTACAATTGTCTGATTCATCCACACTGATATTTATGATGAACTAGGTGAAGGAAGTGCATAGCTTTCACAAGCCTAAGAGAACATATTAGTGCTTGGAAAAATGCCTTAAGCAAGAGAATTATGTTTCCTAGGAGCACACAAGGCATTTAAAAGCCTTATGATGAAGCAAGGAAAAGGAACACTGGGGACCGAAACTATGGGGAAAGAGAGGGAATGAGAAGTCTGAAAATGGACCTGATGACCATTTCAAAGTGCCCAGTTTCTTTTGCAGCTGGTTATCTCATGGGAAAAAGAAGATGGATGAGAAGCCTGATATATGTGGTGTGCTGTTTGTTCTCACCCAATTCTCCATCATGGTAGCTTGTTGGCTACCAAGTGAACAGATCAAGCACACCAAGGGATAAGTTTACCTTTGCACAAAATCTGATTGCAATGCATGCAAAGTCTCTCTGAGGCCCACCGGGGTGCTAATGACTACATATAGCTCATGGTCTCTTTTCTTCTCCTCTCTCAAGAGTCTCACTTCAGTGTAAGCCACCAAGAAGACTGCTACCTCATATTCTTCCAAAGACTACAAAAGGCATCATCATGAAGCAAACACAGACACAGGTTATAACAATGCCAACACTGAGCACCACTTTCTTCTAATTTTGACATATTTTAACTCTTTTTTTTGGTCCCCTTTTCCTTCTTTTCCATTAAGAGCAATTGCACAATCCCCAGGCGCCAAGCAGAAGGGCTGCACTGCTGGCAAAGCACAAGCCTGTATAATGACCCGTCAGGAGGGCTCCACTCGCCCTGCTGGCACAGCCCTCTGCCTTTGAATGGCTCGTGGAGGGGACCACAGCATAGGAGCACATTGCTTCTGACAAAGTATCCTGAGATTTTAACACCGGGCGTTTTCAATTAAGGTGTAGTGCCCTGCGGTGCATGCAAAGCGGAGTGAAACCTTCCACTGACTTGCTGAGTTTGAAGAAGCCTGAGTTTCTGATGCAGCGCCGAGTGATTCACCAGGAAAACAGCGATAACGCCGGGCGCCAGGCCCGGGCTCACTCTTTACACCGGCCACTTTTATAATGTCCCCTCCTCCCGCTGACACGCTCACCTCGGACCTGGAACAGCACGGGGAGCATTTCCACAAGGCGGGGGTGCCCGTCCCACCCCACAGTTCCACACCAGCTGCTATAAAACACCCGCTGTAGGCCCCGACCCTCCCCCAAGAGCATCGCCAAGCCCAAAGCCCTGGTACCGTGGGTGTCACAGGGAAGGGTGCGGGGAAAGGAGCTGCCGCTGATACGACCGACCGCGCTCCAACACCGCGCTCCCCGCACAGCCCAGCCCCGGCCCCGCCACCCCCGCCTCGCCCAGAGCCGCCCCGCTCGCCCCACGGCCAGGCACGGGGGCGCGGCCCCGGCTCCAGCGAGGCCCTTCCCACTGCCCTCCGACAGGCTCCCCACGCCTGACAGCCCCTTCCCGGCCGGCCGGACGCCGCCCGGATCCCCCTACCTGCAGCGGGCAGCACCCCAGCGAAGCTCCTGCGGCTCTTACCCGGCCCCGGCGAACCCGCTCCCAGGGCGGTGGCTGGGGGCGGTGGCGGTGCAGGGCGTGGAGGGGCGGGCAGGCCCCGGCCCGGCCCGCCCCGCCGTGACGAGGGAGGCGGGGGGAGGCGCGGCCCCGCCCGGGCGGCTGCGAGAGCGGGGCCGGGCCGTCCCTGAGGGGCGGTTCCGGCCGGGTCTGCGGGGCCACCCTGCTGCTGACGGGCACCGGGGGCTGCCGAGGGGAACGGGACAACCCCGGCAGCTGCAGCCCTATGCGATTGGAAAAAGTGAGGGTGAAGGGTGGAGAGAGTGTCTTTCAGGGCGTTGCATAGTTGCTGTTGCATCAGGAAGCAAGGCGAAAACATGGGCAAGGATACAATATTATAGTGAAAAATACAACGTTACTTTATTAATAGCCTGCTTTACCCGCCCTGCCTTCCGCTTGGGTTATTTCTTCTCTAAAGGGGAATGGACAATTCAAAGAGAGTTGCGCAGTAGATCTCTTTAAAGGTGCCTTTGGACGCAGAGATACACAATATACAGCTGGGATGGGAGGCAAGCGATGCCAGGAGCAGGAAAAATGAAGGATGCATTCACACGGCTGCCGGTACCGGGCTCGGGAGGACAAGGAGGATGCGATAGCCAAGCACCAGGGCTCCTCCCGGGCCCAGCTACCTGGGAAGTGACAGGCGAGCCTCCAGGCTGCCTGCACAGCATTTGAGGCATTTCTGCATCCTCCTTACTTCTTCAAAGGGACAATGACAGGGCCAGACGCTCCCCAGAGCGCCGAGGCTGAGCTGCTTCGTCTGCAAGAAACCCCCGTGCGCATTAAATAGCACAGAGCAAACAGCCCGCAGACCTGATTGCTGGGAATGCTGCCTCCTCCACACAGCCCAGCCTCGCCTGAGGAACAGCTTCAGGAACTGGGAACTGCAAGCTTAATTGTGCTTTATCATAGATCTTTGTCTTTGCTAAGATTTAGAAATAGCTGAAGCAGTGAAAAACATACTAGGCATGCTAACCCAATAATAACAGAGAAGTCTAATAAACTGCAAACACAATGGAGTGTTAAGTTAAAGGCCTGGCTGGTGCTTGCTGGGTCTCAAAGCATGCTGAAAGGAGAGACAATATAGTCTCCAAGACTTGCATACCTATACAGAGTTCTGACGTTAATTGATGGTTGGAAGTGTCATTTTATCCCTTTCATGAATTGAAGTTACTAAGGAAAAAAGCCATTCTGATATGCCTTTTTGCTGCAGGAATATTGGCTATACATAGACAATCTATTTTTACCTGGCTATTTTATTAATGATGATTTTAGCTTTGCTACATGTGTGGGTGTTTCCTCCAAAATCCCACTAGATGGTGCACTAATGAGGGTATAATGCACATTCCTTCCAAATTAAGGGCCTGCCTCGATTATTATTTCTGTCATATAAACTCCATTGATTGACCCAGTCACTCCTGCTTTATAAAACTTCAGCAGAGATCACTGTCAGTTTTCCTCCAGAAAACAATACATCTTTTACTTTATGATTTCAAAAATGCATTTCCCCTTAAAATGTGACACTACATCAGTGAGAATACTTTGCCTGCAGGTCACCATTCAGGTACTTTTTTTTTAGGCTTAGAGGTAAGACCTAGTCATTGCTGATCAATGTTCATTCTCATCCTACAGAAACAAGTATCCAAATGCTTTCCTAGTGAAGCTGTATGCTTTATGAAGAAAATCCTGCTCCTCACCTGCTGTTAGCTCACATCATGAGCATCCACATTTTACTGTTAAATATCTCAAAGTCATTATTATTTAAATAACCAGTTGAAGAATAATATAAAAGCCTGAGAGGGGAAAAATGGATTATAAAATAAGCTTTTCAATGAAATGTCTGTATATAAAAATACCTAAATAGCCTTCACAATAGAACCATAAAATAATTATGAATGTACAGTTACTAGACTATTGATCATGTTTATTGATCAGAACTGCTAAGAGCATGGTATGCCCTCTGAATATTTTTGTTAACTCCTATAGAAAAACCATTGACTGGGAGAACATGTCCTGTTTCACCCTTTTAAATAAAACAAGAAGATTCCCTCACTTTCCTATTCTAGCAATGCTGCACAGACAGGGGCTGTAAAGAAGCCATGCCTAAGTGTTATCAGAGATGCTGATGCATTTGTGCTTCTAAATGCATTTCATTGGCTTGTCTCTAGGGCTCTCACACCAGCATCACCTTGGGATTGAATTAAGAATCATCATTCACCTACCTTTCCTGTTTCTTGTGATACAAAATCAGATTTCAAATGACTGAATTAAATGGGGAAATGTTGAGCCCCTGCTATGCATAGTCACTGCATACCATGGAAGATGCTCTGGATATTTACTGACTGAAGGTCAGAGTGTTTGCTATTTATATTCTTGTCATGTGTGTAAAACAAAAATGAAAGGATGTCCTCTTTGGGGATCCATGCCCAGTATAATGTCTGAAAGAGATGAAAGTTAAGCCACAGCACCATGGTGTGATTTGGGAAAAACACAGCTTCTTCCTAGCCCAGTATCCAAATTAGAACTCACCTTCCTGACTGTATTTCTGCCTCCCACCTCCTGCTCCTGTCCTGGTCCCTAATGAGCAGGCACACAGGCCTGGCAGTGTGGGTGGCACAAGTTCCAGGGCCACTAGTGACACAGAGATGAGGCACTCATTTCCATGCAGCTCCCAGGGCCAACACAATGCATGATGAAATGAAGGGGAGCAGCCCAGCCCTGGCCTTATGTTCCTGATGAGTGTCCTCTTTCCAAGGCATGAGCAGTGCCTGAGCAGTGCATAATTTACTGCACAGGCCAACTTCATTCTCTTCTATCACATCTCTCTTGCACACCTCTAGCTTTAGATAGGAAGAGTAATGTTTTCAGTATTTGGCAAAAAGTCTGGCAGAGCTTCCCAGACAGTTATTACTGATGCATTCCACCATCAGCAAGAATTCCTTTTATTATCGTTGTCATCTCTGTTTGCTAATTTAATCAAAATATCCACTCCAGAACCTGAAATGAGATTAAGTTCCTATTATACCCAGGCCTAAACAGAATTATGATGGATGATGGTTTCCAGCTTGAACAGATTTATGGGTTAATTGTACTGCAGAATCACCTGTACAACCTCTTTATTTAAAAAAAAAAAAAAAAAAAAAAAAAAAAGCATTGACCATTTGCATGTTATTTAGGCTGGCATTTGCTCTCCATCAACAGTAATTAACATAGTAGCATATGTTTTAAATAAACAGAGAATTGTATTCCCAATATTGATAATGTTTCCTTAAAAAAAAAGAAAAGAATCACTACCAACTTATTTTGAAATCTTTCTTTGCCTAACAGTTTAATTTTCAAAGACATGTTATACTTTCATCTGCAGTAGTGAAATGAGCTGACATTAATATTTCAAATCCCAATGTTTAATTAAGTAGTACCTGCAAATACATAATTTCTCTAACTTCAGACAGACCATTTTGAAACAATTAACATTTATAAAAGGCATAAAATGAAACAGCATTGCTTTGTTCAGATAGAGAAATACAACCCTACAGAAGAAAAAATATTAAAAATTAAAGAATCTATGGACTGCAAGTTCAACAACTACCTCTGATAGAATCTGATAGATCTTCATTGGAAAATTAGGTCACTGTTAAGCAACCAATATTCATTATTTTACAGCTCATCATCATCTTTGTCCTTCTCTTCATTTTCAATTCATAATTACCTTAATTGCTTTCAGGAACCATGCAAAATAAAAGAAGAAACACAAAGTAATCTTGACAGAACTTGGTAAACCAAACAGATATCAAATGTAAGGGTACACACAGCAGGGCTATTAAGGTTAGGAAAATGTTGTTTAATGATATTTCCAAAGCTCAGTGTCAGAAAACCAAGAAATCTTGGCTTCTCCCAGAATTTGAGCAGTATTTTCTCCTCACTTACCTGCTCTGCCATTGCTACTGTACATATCAGTACTCTGGGTTCTGCTTTTCCCCTTCTCCATCATTCCAGCCTGCAGTTTAGTCAAAAATGAGATCTAGCAACAATCACAAGATATTATGGCACAATTCTCACATAGCAGCATAGATGGTGGTCACCCACCAAGGGACTAAATCTCATCCACTTCCACAAAAGAAAACTGTAAAAGCAAATTATGCAAAGGGACTAAAAAAAAAAAAAAAAAAAAAAAAACCAAACCAAAAAAACCCCAAACCAAACAAACAACAACAACAACAAAATAAAAAACAAAAAAAACCAAACAGAGTGACTAATTGACTGCATTCATGACATAAACCCTCTCTAATCTGTTGAGGACTGGTAGAAAATATCTCAAAAACTGATTAGCAACTTTATGAACACTCCCTTTCTCTATAGCCTTGGCTGCAGTGAGTTCAGAGCAAAAGAAGTCCATGTATGTTATTAAAGGTAGTTAATAAAGTTATTAAAGGTGTCAATGTTGTTAAGTTGCCCCCAGGACACGACTCAGTTTGAGGCTTGCGGATTTCTGCACAGCTAAATGTCAAAACTCTGTTATGTGCCTTGCTTAAGCCTAATGCCCCACAGAGAAGCATCTTGTGCCATTTCAGATGCCCAGATGTGTCTCACTTTGCTCTCAGCTACTGTGTAGGCATCTCAGGTTCCCTATTACACCTTATGTGACATTTGGCAAATTATTCATAATTTCTGAATAGCCACTGACCACTAGAACTGGAACTTAAACAGCCATTCCAACTGTGGCTATAATCAGGACTTCAGACACTTACCAGAATTAGAAACACCTACTTAAAAACTTCAGAGTCTTAGTCTCAAACTCATCCCACAGTCTAGGTCTTCCAGTGTGTACCACAGCTTTCCTGTGTATTTCTGTGGCAATTTGGCACCAGAACTTTTACAAGAATTCTATTCTGCCCTTCACTCATCAGCCTTTTCCTGTGGGTTTGGTAACCTTATTATAGAAAATCTGCAACTACAGGCAGTATGGGACGGGTTTTTACTTTCTGCT